CTCTCTCTGCTTTTCGGTTTAACTTTTTGGTGTGTGTATGTCGATATTAGCGTCTGTCCCGCCTGTTACTCTGCGGTGTGGTAATCGTGGTAGGTTTTTAAAGGGGCTTTTTATACTCACGTTAATACAGTTAACATATACGGATGTACTGTATACACAGATGTGCACACAAAGACTGTATATACAAACATACATACACACACGCACATACATAAACACATACACATATAGATACGTGCAAGCACGCGCACACACACACACGTGTACACATTTACCGGCGTACGTACACACATATATACCACGCTTAATACATCCACACCCGCATAATCAAGTGACGATTAGAATGCATTTAATAGAATATTAATTCAAATATTCCTACCGTTCCTGCGTTTTATATAAATACCGACTAGTATATACCCGTTATTTTTTAAGTAATATTCCGAGCGCGTTAATGTTAGCTGTCATTGCAGTATACTCTATGGGAAACAGTATACTGATAATGTCAACATGCAAGCCGCTGTGGCCCTTGTGCATATTGAACGCGAATGAAGGAACGGGTTTTACTACGCCTGGACGCCACATTGTAAGTTGCGATTTGTCTCCAGAAGAGTCGCGCAAATTGACGCGAAATCGCAAACTCCGTAAATTGCACGCGTCCCACGTGACCGTAACACGCGCACGGGACACGAGACGCGTGCCCGTCTGTGTCGTGAACGCAACATGCGATGACTGCACAGGCACATACTTGCCACGCAAATAAAAACAAACAAAATTAACACGGCAATTTACAAAAATACAGTCGGATACTGCACTTTGATTAAACGTATAACAATTACATTTTCTTCCGCTCTCATTTACCAAAAATAAAAACGTGTTCACAATTATATGAATGCGTACTTACCTTCATTGTCAGCGCATAACTCACGATTAAAAACAAAGGGTGTTTCCCAGCGCGGGATAATTTTGTAAAGGACAAAAAAACCCCACTTCGAACACGTGTTTGCTTGAGTTGTTGTTGTTGTTGATGATGATGATGATTGTTATAAATATACGTGGAGGAATAGATTGCTTACGAGAAAGGAAAGGGAACGGGTTTCAACTGTTGAACGTCTCCGGTCAAAACGCGTGGCCAATTCCTGCGCCGCCCCCCCCTCCGCCCCACCCAGAGCATCCCCTCCCCCTACTCCTCACCTCTGCATGCACCCCAGTTTCTGTGCCGACACCCACCGACCGAAGCCATAAAATATATTTACGACTGCCATTGTTTGTGTTTTGCGACCATAAATAGTCGCTCAAATAAACAAAAGGGGCCTTGTCGAGGCAGATCACCCACCCACCCATCCACCCACTCACTCACCCCCCACAGCCCCCCCCCCGTCCGTGCAGCCCCCCACAATTGCTCCCTTCTTCCACGCACCCCCACTCACCACCTCTCACTCACCCCCATCGCAACAAACCTAACCCCCGAACTTTGCCTCCTCTTCCTTGAAAAAAATGTCGGGTTTACGAGGAACGAGGCTTGGGGCCTTTAACAAAAACTCAGCCGCATTCGCCGAAAACACTGCCACCCACCCCCCACAAGAAGGAGAGAAAATAAACACACGCACGCACGATCATACGACGTTTCGGGCAATGGCCCATCTTAATATTAAATCGCGAACATTCTTGTGTTTATAATTTAAGGGGGTAGTACGATCTGCCCGGAAATTTCGCGTGGATGTTTCTTCCTTCGTGATATCCGGCGATCGGCCAACGAGCACTCGGTGGAAATATTTACGACCGAGTACATTTTAGCGTTCGCCAAATAACGCACACTCGTGCGCACACGCTTACATTTTTCTTCTTCAACAGTATTATTGTTTGTTAAAATTACATTTCAAACTGAACGAAGAACAAGTCGTAAAACTACCGCCTCCCCTCTAACACCAGCCAATCATAAAATAAAAAAAATCCCCACCAGTAGCGACATTATTCTAATCCAAAGTTTCTTATCTTAATGGTTGGAAAAAAAATAATCCATTAAATGTATCGTCAATCGGGCGGGGTTGAGAACATTGCTCCTGCGATTTTGTTTTACGCGCTCGTTCCTTGCGGCCTGCCCGTGATTTACGCACGAAGCTCACCCGAAGCATGTTTACATACATCGTTTTTATAAACAACCACGCTATATATGTATATGAATGATCACGCCCTGCACGCATTTAATTTATTGTTGTCCCCCCCCCCCCCGCGTCGATCCACTCTCTCATTCCATTGAACGTTCAGCAAGTAAAGTTGAGTGTAACAAAACCAACCGCGCAGACGTCGAAATGAACGCAGCGAGCGTCAATCACGTAAATTTTCGTTAAATGCGCACAAGGTCCTGGCACAATCACCACGACTACCGCACCGCTCGAAGCATTCTCCACCGACAGGCCGAGTCATTCTACACGATACTAGTACCAAGTCGCAATTCACTGACCCTCGGTCAATCCACTGCTCGATGAAGGCCGACTTCGCCCACGCAGTGCTGCGTTGGCCGTGCGGTGGTGCGAAGGGGGGGTCGTTTGACCATACTTCACCATGCTACTGGTTTGCGTGAGCTGCATGCTGAAGAGGGAGGTGGGGAAGCGAGTGACCCAATGTCGGTTCAAATATCTCTCACCGATGATGTCCCCCGTGGGCGGGGAATCGAACTCGGGTAGCAAGATTCCGAGGTGCTGTGCGCGAAACCGATCACTGCGCAACCACTCAGGTGATGTTCCCTCAAGCGATGTGTACGCCCATTATTCTTAGTATTGTTGTGGTAATGATACATTTAACAAACATATTCGGAGTGATCGTTTCTCCGAAGCTGGTTGGCGTTGGGCGTGCGAGCCTGGAACATCACCGCTGTTGTTGAAACGATGAATATCGCGCCCCCGCCTTGCTAGACCTGTTGAATCTTTTTTTTTCCTGTTTAATCACACGCAGAATTAATTAGTCTAATTGTTGTTGTTTCGGCGAAACTCTCAACAGCATTTAAATGGCTCAAGTTATGCACCGGTAAGTAGGACGACGACGATGACGATGATGGAACTGAATGTCTGGTAGCATTGGCTTAAGGTGAATTTAAATATGCATCACGCCGCGTTTTGAAATTGGGGACTCATTCTCTTCTCGAGTGCGTTCACGCGCGGGGCGTTCCAGTTAAATCATTGCAAGCGACACCCGCAGTTGCCCACCGTCGGGACCTTTCCTTGTTCTTTGGCACTTTGCTTTGACGGAAATTATTCTCAACAAAAAGACACCACGACACGAGGTTTGAACACGAGGTTAAGTTCAGGCACCGGTAATTAATAGTCGCAATACCGCCTCAAAGATATTAGAACGTGTTGATTTGCGGGATAGGCTGGTCGGTTTGTTTTGCTTTGCATAATGATCCGACTTGGAAATGTTACGACTTGTATTTTAATTTATATCGGGTAGAAATGCAACCGCATCTTAGGACAACCCGAAAACATGAATTTCCAACTTTGGTCTCCACGTTTTTTTTTTACTTACGTGTATTTAGGCTGGAGAGAGCTGATTTGTGCTCATATAAGACGTGTGATTGAATGCAGACACATACTTGTGAACCCTCCTACCCGCATAAACTATATATAAGTGCATCGCCTAACCCAGTGGTCATCAGCATGGCTGTGGCAGACGACAACCAAACGTACGTTTACACGAACTTCACTGGGGCATGCACTGCACACACACAGACCTTGACGTTTACAATAGCGTAACTTTTGTGACGTGTTATTTTTCTTTGTACGGCGTTTTGTTTTGTAATTTAAAAGACAATTTTGGCCGAGATGATCAGTTGGGGTGAACAGCAGATGTACATGATACCGATCTTCTCGAAGGGCTAGGAAGCTGAAAAATTGGCACACATTTCGGTCGAATCAAAGCTTACAAAAAGACCAATTCGAAAAAAATGTCGTTTCAAATGTGGGCTGTTAAATAATTCCAGCCCGGTAGCCGATTGATTTCACTTATAGGACAGGGTCAGCCTGAAGTTTTACATTACAGTACTTGAAGGCTCGTGCTAAACACGTATAAACAGACGACCACCATCAACAGTGAGCCAAGTAACGTGTCTCTTGCGAGGCGTGAAACCCAAGACAACAAAGTAAACATTAGCCAGTCGCAAGTTTTGGTGTAGCATGTGAATGCACACAGTACTCATATAATGTAATAAGTGAGCTTAATTGAGCAGTTACATTGTAAAGCCACGTACTCAACAGGAGTAAATATTTAGACCTTTTGCCTAACGGGTCAGCACAGAACTTTGTGTATACACGTGCAGTGTAACATATGCTCAGATGTTCCCCCCATGTAGCCTTTAACACTCATACATACATTGGAGCATGCATACGGCCATCGAGTACCATACCTCGGACAGACAAAGATCCCCCCTATAGCCTTAGACTGTTGGGGCAAGTGCTGTTAGTGAGCACCTATGAAGGCCTGCACGGTACACGAAGGGGTGGGTGGCCAGCACCACGGCCTACCGACTTTGTTTCCCCAATGCTTATGTTTACACTCTGCACCAGTAATTTATTTGCAGCTGAGTCGACCTAGTTGAGGCCCAGGTACCGGTTCAAATAATTGTCACCAGTGTTGGCCATGAACAGTAATTGTACTCGGGTCGCCGGGTTCGTAACGCAGCGGGCGGACCGCAACACCACCGCTCCTCGCATAGGGCATACAGATACATACATCTAGAAACACGTTCTTGCTTCTTGATGTTGTTGCTGCCGCTGTTGCTCTGCACTGAATAACAGAGAAGCAGAAGATAGAGGGTGGAAAAAGTGTGGAATGAAGCAACTGGTACCACTCCCCTCCATCCCTCCCCATTTGAGCCACACGAAAGTAAACAAGGCTCCTTTGAAACGCATTTAATGTCAACTTGCAATGAAACGTATTGAGAACACAGCATGGATTTTGACGGGGGGGGGGGGGGCAATAATTTCAGTATACCACAAAAGTAAAACATCATTTAAGCAGCCCGACAACAAAAATGAACAAAACAAAAATATTACAAGTTTTCTGACATCTGTGTTTTTTTTGTGTTTTTTTTATTATTTAAGCATACAACAGACACGGCTAAAGGTCTCAATCTGAGAGCGTTACTAACGAAAAGAGGGCAGGTTGAGACCAGCATGCATCACGAGAGAGAGAGAGAGAGAGCTACTACAATACTGTGCATATTTTACAAATAGGAACATCTAAAAATGATGACGATTTTTTTTGTATGTTTGTTGCAAATTAACACAGTTGACACTTCACAGTCCGTTTTATTACGCATCAGGATATGCAGCTTAGAAACACTAATCCAAAATAAACCTGTACATTACGTGTATCTAAGCATTAAAGAGGGCATTAAGTGCAGTCCAAAAGTGACAGGACATTAAAAGTCTTTGACTTTACCGGTTACAAAATGATATCAATCCAGCCATAATATATTTATATATTTTTTTCATTTTTTTATTTATCTTAACTTTAGTTTTATCACACGTGGTTTTTTTATCTTTACGTTGTTCGAGAGGAGTGATCAGCACCGCCATATTAGGGATGTGGTGTGTAGGCAAAAAAATAAAGGTCGAAGCAAATAATAATGATATTCCTCGGGTTTCGTGTTGTATTATTTTGCAAGGTGCTGTGCATATGTAAGAGCTTAGACATCGCATTCGGCCCATGTGTGTGTGTGAGAGTTTACAGCTTACGCAGATTTTTTTTCTTTTTTAAGATTTGAAGTACGAAATAAAACAAAAGAAACAAACTCACATTAGTGTAGTAATAATCCACGTAATAATAATATTGTTCCCTGACAAAAGAAATGAAAAATCCCACTGGATTCCATAAGACACAGAAATAAAATCGGTAGGAATTCTAAACGAATCCTATATAGCTCCCTGCAGGAATTTGAAATTCCTCGCTATCATCCTATTGGACCCCTTTTCAAAACAGAGGGCTTCTCGCGGGTAGGTAGGTATGCATTTTATGCAAGGTGGTCTGCACGCAATTGGCAGACAAAATTCCTAATTAGGTCACTCACCTCTGTCTAAACACAAACGTAATGGTCGTTGACTTTAACCCTTGACCGCAGCTTAGTTACAGAAATGTTAGCGTTAGCCTGCCTCTTCATCAGAACACTGAACGAATTCCATATGAAAAAAAACAAATACAGGTCCCCTAAAATGTGCCAAGAAAATAAAATTATATTTCCAATTTCCAACGAAAAAAACTAACATTTTTTTTGTAAATGTCTCATGCAAAAGTTAAACAAATGTAATGCATTTGAATTGCAGTTAGACGAAACGATATGAACAAATGATGGGCTGTGCATGACCACATATCTAGCATGATATATAAGATGACATTGTTGTGTCGTGGGGGCCATGAGAGATGGCGACGGTTGTGGCGAGGCCTTAATCCAGCACTAAATTGATCACGGCTGATGTTGGTGATGGTGATGTGTGTGTGTGTTGCGCAGAGAGCGTTTAAACGTGAATGGAAATAAACGGTAAAAGTTTGTTGATCACGTGACTTCACATTCTTCTATTGAGTCGCTGTGTTTATGAGGCTTGGTGAATGGGTGGGGAGAGAGGGTATGGGAAGCCACGAGGTTGTGTTGTGGAGAGGGGCGGGGGCTTTGGAAAGACCAGGAATGGAGGAAAGGGTGGGGAAGCCCAACAGAGGTTAACGTTCAGAGGTCATGATCACAAAACAGAGTTTCTGGAAGGTGAAGGATCGCATCTCCAACATCACGGACGCAGATGGTGGGTAGAGGTTGGTGGTTACATGATCACAAATGCAGCTACAGAAAGAACGAGTAATTTTCATGCTTGGCCGCAGAATTTAGTATAGTGCTCGCAAAGAAATGTTGCCTGATTAGGATTGCAAAAGCATCAGCGATGCCATAAATACAGTTTGAATCACAGTAAATCGCGCCAAAGTGAAGGCTTAAAAAGTAAAGCTGCTTAAAATTGAGCATGCTTATTATTTGTTGTTTTTACTTATGTGATGCGTTTAAATAAACACTGCCAAGCCGATTTTAGAGATGTGATTTGACTGCGATGTCACAGCACAGCAAAGAAAAAAAATGCAAGCAACATCAATTCGATGAGAAGAAGCATAAACAAAAAAGTAATAAGAAATAAATAAAGAAAAAAAAATTGCCATGACATCAGTGGGACTGCCGGGTGCCTCTCTCTCCGTTCTTTGTGCATCACGGATTGGTGGCGTTAAAGAGTTCGGATGGTAAAAAAAAATCAACAAAAAGCCTCGGCACGGCACAGACTGTGCTGTGGAAATGACAGCGTCATTTCGATTCGACGACGGTTTGTCTTCCTGCTCCTCGTTCTTTCTCTTTCCCACCACCACCACCACCATCATCTCTCTCTCTCTCCCCCGCATTCTCTCTGAGGTCACGGCTACAATGATTCTGCGACGTAGTAAAAGGCGGGTCGGTTTGATGGCGGTGACTGTGATAACATGTAAAAGTTCGGTTTAGCTTCGTCTGCCATTCTGCGGAATTTTCATTTTTATCTTCCTGACATAGTTTTTGTTTGTTTTGCTTCTTAAGTTTGTTATTGTTGTTTGATTCTTTTTACATATATATTTTTTTCTTTTTTATTAGCGTTACGGTTTTTCTTTTTCCTCTTTTCGTAGTTGTCGTGCTTGTAGTTGGAGTTTTCCCTTTTTACTGGGCGTGGATGTCCATAACCTGCCCAACCAAACCGGGATCGCCAGGAGCTCCCATCATGCCGGTGGGGCTGGCGGCTGCCGCCGCCGCTACCGCTGCCATGCTCATGCCGGACGCGTGGCCGCCCGGCATCATCATGGCGTGGTGCGGCGCGTGGTGCAGTTGCGATGCATGGTGCCCGGGAAGGTAGGAGTGCATGGGGGCCCCGTGCCCGTGGTGCAGCTGTGACTGGTGGTGGTGGTGGTGGTGATGGTGGTGGGCGGCAGCCGCCGCCGCTGCCATCTGTGGTGAGGTGTAACCGGCGGGCGACATGCCGAGCCCCAGGCCGCCTTGCGTGATGTATTCCCCCGGCATTCCGTGTAGGCCTGTGCGCGTACAAGCAAGGCACACCGGCGACAAAACACAATCAAGAACATTGTCTCCACCTTGGCCCTTTATAAATATAGAGACACACACACACATATATATACTTGCATATAATTTATAAATATATGGAGGATCTCTAGAGCTCCCTCTGGTGGAGGCTCTTTAGACCGAAGCGGCATGAGCCAGCAATTGCAGATTTGCCCCTTTACCTTCATACGTGTTTTAAAATCTCAAGGTGCTGTCCTGCAATTGCTTGCTCAGGCCACAGCCGGCAGCTTTCTGGCCTTCACTCGACGGAGCTCAAGACAGCCCCCCTCGAGAGGGTATAACATATACGGCAAATACTATAATAGTTGGTGTATCCGGCTGGCGGACCAGTGGCGTGTGCAGAGATTGCTGCGTTGGGCAGCGCGATTCATATTCTCGCTGGGCAGTGGCGATCCTACACTGTGCACAGCAGTGGTAGGAACTGTCTTTAAAATCTTCCACAGTTGCACACTTTTATCAGGCGGCTGGTGGAGACCAGATGCCCTCATTCTGCGAATGCCACTGATAGGAGCCTTATGGGGGAAGTGACCTAGTCTTGCCCACTACTGTGTGGTAAGTGGTGGCCTGCGGTCCTGCATACTTTTGCTGAGCAGCATGCCAATTGTTAGTTTGGGATTTCATTTTTGTCTTTTTTTTTGCCGACCAATTTATCCCAGTGAGGCTACCGGCGTTATGTCGTGATGCAAATAACGCATTGGGGACTATCGCAGAGAAGCACATCCTCACATCGTGCATTAGAGAAAGGTCTGCAGAAGTAGATCTCACAGAGCCACTTCTGAGATCCCTTCAAGTGACCTCTTGCCTACACGCTAGGGGGCAGCACTTTACGACCTGCCCACCATACAGAGAAATATTCTTGGCATGACGGTCAAATAATTGCTTTTGCATTCTCAGAATTGGAATTTAGCCAAATGAAGTGTAGATATATTTCTCAATATCTATATACATTGATTTAATTTTCATCTGTGGCTTCGACAAATCGTCGCAAGCCCACTCGGTACCCCGACCAGAACAAAGAGCCACCTCGCCCACACCTAACCAACGGCACAACCGCTGCACATGCCAACCCATGCCCTCGTGGCTCCGCCGCATCATCACGAGCCGCTGAGCGTTAAGACGTCTTTTGCGAAAAGCCGATTGATTAAACGCGCTCTCAGCGCTTGCTCCGTAATTTTACATCGAGTTTACACTCAAAAGCACGGCATTGTAGGAGCGTAACGCAAACCCATGGCGTGCAGTTTAGCTGTTAATGTATGTGTCCATTAGAGCGAGCGTCCACGACAATCGGTTACACGTGCACACTGAAGCATGCGTCACGAGACCTTGGAAACAGCAATGACAGATCAAAATACGACCATTACCGGACTGAATAAATAAACACACTTGTAAAGAGGTAGATACTCCCTTTTGTAAAATGTAACACTGACGCTTACATGATTGAACAAATAATAAGAATAAGAATGGGAGGTTTTGTTTTCGTGCATTGCAATCACACGATAGGGAAGAAATAGCATCATTCGATTGACACATTGTATGAACCCCAAGCTCCGTTGTAATGCTCTGAGCTGAAAATAATGAGCGTATTGTATATGTTAAGTGGATTGTCTTCCATACATTGTTTATGGTTTGTATTTAGACTAATTAATTTAGTGACGTATTTAACTCCACCACAAAGGATCAGACGTACAGTCCCCTCACCGGGTGCACAATGGACGTACCCTGTAATTACACTCTGGACTCAAAGCATATTGCTACACTCTTAATTAAATAAAGTTATCGCATCGCTCTGTTAATTTAATTGATCACTGAGCGTGTAATATTCGGCCAATTTCAGAGCAGCACATTAAAAATCACCCGAGCTGAAAAGCAATCTCTTTATTTTACAATTTTTCCCCCCGCTCTCCTTCTTAATGGTTGTATGCGATTGTGTTAAATATTTTATGATAGGACAGCATTTTTTTTTCAGTTGCCGGTAGAATACCTTTGCGATTTATTCTCCTATGCCAGGTAAAAAAAAAACCTATATTTAATATAACTAGATTTGGTAGAGTTCACACGAAGCATCGGCTGCATTAAGTTTTCTTTTAATAACATCTTCCCAATTGTGGTTGCCAATTACCACTCTGTTATGACATTTAAATGACCCCACGTGGTACCAAGGTGTGATTGAAAAGAACGGCACACACTGCACATCTTTAAATGGTGACGGCCGGTGAATTTTGTAAAATAAAACAAACCAAGGAGACTTTGTCAACTGTACTGATGCACAATTCAAGGGACACTGCACACTATGACGGTACGTTCATTGTACTTTTAACTTGCGAAATGTATTTTAAATGGTTCATTTTAATATATATCCATATTCAAATTACACGTCTAAATGGTTGCATGCATTAAACGCTTGTAGAAACAAAAAGTATACATGCGCCGCTGTTTATTGGAGAGGAAAAAACGTAATGGTTCCAAAACAAGCTGAGCGTTAGATCAATTATATTGAGATTGTTTGAACTTGAAAGGTAATTAAATTAGGAAACGGTAAACACTGGAGCCATTATGTTTACATATAATTACGCGCTCCTGTAATGGAAAATTGGCCTCCTGTTTTTCAAGCAGGTATAAAGTTTGATTGTAAAGCGCACTGCGTTCAGATTTCCCTTTTCGCTCAAAGCACCAAACATGAAAACCGTACCGAATCTTCGACTTCGAAGAGCGCAGCAGCACGTCCCGTAAATTGCCAGTGTAATAATAGCAATAGTAAAATAAGTCACAAATCTAAAAAGCAAGTGTTTAGAAATGGGCATGACAGGGTGGTGAGGGGCAAGGGCATGCAAATGTGCAGGTAAACAGGAAGAGGAACAATGGAACGGGTAGGACAACTCCAAAAAATGAAACTGGCTGCCAAACAACTGGCCTTGATTGGACTCTGTAAACCATTTTTTTTTGCTTTTTTTTTGCAGTTGTGTTTATTTATTCAAATCCCAACCCTCAAATTAAAAAAAGCAACAATTGTTAGTACTTACTTCCCCCTCTCTGATTTGTTAACTAGGTGAGCGTTACATGTAGTGCCATTGCCCTTCCATTCCCATATTCATGCCCATTCCACCCATAGGTCCTAGAAGGAAGATACAAAAAAACAAAAGAAAAATGTATATATACCCAGGGAAAATGACAGAGCAATCAGAAAAAATAAGAATTTGAGAATTTAATGTTCAAGTGCGAAACCAAGCAACACCTCTCAATGCAAAGTCATTGAACAAAGTCATTGAACAATTCGAGAAACGTGTTTCATGCGTGTGTGTTTTTTTTTCCCACGACAGGCGAAAGAAACCGTAGAACTGAAGAATTATTAATTGTGCATGTTAGCGACGGTAGATGCGCGACAACTGAAACAAGTTAATTTTCTGGGTTCTTTGATGTTGTTGTTAAATCTGTTTGGCGAGTATTCTGTGCAGTCGAAACGGATGTTCAAGTTATTGTTTACCATTATGCGTATTTCATCAAATGAAGCGCCAGTATTTACCGTCGCACAAACTTCAACTTGATAGCACAGACTCATTACGTTACCATACTCATATGCAAAGAGTCCGTATGAATATACCGTTATTATTTAAAGGTCCATCTAGAGGATTATCAAATGTCTTCGTTTAAAAACAAATATATATTTTAATATTGATTTGAAGCTTTCGTGACTGCAGGAATCCATACTCTTTGGTTCATTCGGTAAAGTTCTACCTACGTGACTTTACCGAAAGAACCAAAGAGTTTTTATATTAATGTTATACTTTGGCAAAATGGCTTTCATACCGTAGTCTATCAGAAGCTAAACAGATATATTATGGATGTAATAAAACACATTTTTTTAATAACAACTTTTTTATGCTTTAACGTGTGTGCCTAAAAAATATGCGGTCACAGTGATTTGTGTAAATGTGGTCGTGTTATCAACAAAACATATCAATGTATCAGTCTGCTCTTACAAACACACCCCTGTGAAATTGGAAACGATGAAGCTAATGTGAACGGTTCTAAAACTAACAAGCAGTTTAGGGTTAAACAGATCAATCACTTGCTTAAGAATTAATCTATGCAAAAGTTAACTCAATTGTACAAATACATTGCTCATCGCACAATTGCTCTGACTAAATGCACTCAAAGCAACCCACACTCACAGCGGCTTTTAGAAACAGTTGCAAAGCTAAAAGCTTGACAATTTTTGATATTCAATGCAATTAAAGATCCTTTGTATATAAACTGCATAATTGACTTATTCTTATTAGCGTAAGTGTCTTTACATTAAGAAACGACATCCTCATGCTCAATTCTGTTTTTTTTTAATGGTGCCACCCCATTTTTTCTACTGAGCACTCACTGATATTCCCATAAAACATGGGAATTCCTTCACATCAAGAAGGGCAGTCATAAACCTGCCCAGCTCCTGGGCCATGATCCCTCTCTTCCCCTGCACCCTTCCCCCCCCCACATAACCCCTCTCCCGCCTTCCCCTCCCCCCTTCCCCAGACTCACCAGGTCCCCTTAGTCCCATGTGTTGCTGGCCGTCCATCATGAAGCCAGCCATGGGCTGCCCGTCCGGACTGTATCCGGCACCTTGACTCACTGGAGGGGAAATTTAGGAGTTCTGGCTTCCATTAAAATATAGATAACTCCACAACAACAACAACAACAGGCACTCCCAAAATCAATCCCTTTCCACAGGTGCAAAATAAAACTGGAGCGCGCGCTCGCACGTGGTGTACGTACGCGCGTACCATCGCGCACGCACGCGCAAATATGCGAAGATCACCAATGTATAGTCCACACGGACTCGATGGGGAGCGAGTTGTGTTGGCGAGCACACATTAAGGTCGGCAGGGCACACGAGGTGGCTGGGGTGGCCAGTGTGATCGGCACCACGCCCGGCACAAACACACGCATTTTCACACCATCAGAAATATGGCACATGGATATTTTAACAAAAAGACAAACAAATAAAACCGTTGCGCTATTTTACCGTGTGGCCAAATACAATGGCACGTGTGATGCGTAAAAATAAAAAAAATCATTTGAAGCCCGTGAATGCAACACCTTCTAGAGGACATCCACCAAGGAGATGGAGTGATGAAATCGGCTCGATAATGACGACGATGAATCTCGCGATGCTATGTAATGTGGGGCGATCGAGTGAAAAGGTGCAGAAAGCGTCCTTTGTTGGAGTCATCACTTTGCTCTTGTGTCCTCCTGGCCGCTTCTATAACTGCCGCCCCTCTTAGCTCCCTTTCAATCCATACAAACGCACAAAGAATGATCTTGCGACTGACGTGCGCACCAACGTTATGGTTGGGCTCGTGTTTACCATTAAGTCAACCGGCTGGGCACCACTTGCCTGTATAAAGCACTCGCTTTCCGTCGTATTATTTTGTCACTGCCGATCCAGGTGGCAGAGAAATCGCATTAAAAACTAAAATATATATTTTTTTAAAACCTCAGCGAAATTAGAAAAAAAGCTAAAATAATCACGTCTTTTTTTTATTAGATTTTTTTTCCGGGGGGCCAGCGATTCGTGCTATCCTGGGTGTGTGACCCGAATCGGCCATTTTCCGCGACCTTACTGCCCATTAATCACACCTCGGCCTGCCGTCTGACATCGCCATGGCGACTGCGGTGCAGAATCATGGGAAAGGGGGGGAAAAAAATCCTTTTCGCCATCGCCCAGACAGAGCAGGCTGCCGTAAATTATGAGGCACAGCTCTGCCATTAAATTGCGCCTGTGTGGCAGTTTGAAAAACAGCGCCAGCGGTTTTTTTTACTAGGGCATTTACTTACTTTTAGAATATAGGCTTCTTTATCTTTACTGTATGTGTACGTGGTCATAGTCTCATGAGGCCCGGGTGGCCTCAGAGAGAGCGATGATGATGATGATGTGTGCGATAACGACAGACTAAACAGCTTTGTTTCAAGAAAGGCGGCGCACGCGATTGTATCTGTACGCACACACGACCGTACTGTATCCACACAGTCCTGTGCTGTGTTGAGGCCCAATTTTTTGACACGACGATATTTTAACATAGGGAATTTCCGTATAAACGGTACATAAAAAAATTACGTGTCCCGTGAAAGGATGGCCATATCCGTCTTAAGAATTGCCAGGGCCACTCTGGGAATAGCTACCATTAAATCAAGCCAAAGGAAAATAACCACTTTCAAAATATATAAAGTCACAAATAATAGCTAAACAGAGATTTAGGCGCACCGCTTTGCCGGCTTGCTATAATATAACGTTAACGTAATAATGGAACGGTGCAATGGAGTTCTGGTGAGCTTTTAAAGTCGCTATTTTTGCCCAAGCACAAATCATTTTGAACCCAAAGGGAGAACGGAGATGGTTGGTTTGATCCGTGGCATAGCGCGGTTGGCATGGGCTCTGGTCCACGGAACACAATGGGCAACCCCCCCCCCACAACTGTCCCAGTTTCCCCCATTTTTAAATCCTTTATATTAAGTTCGCTTGCTTGCTTACGACCGTGCAAATCTTTCGATCGTTTTTTAACCCACTTCCCGTGATCCAATCGAGCTGACATTTTGCACACAGACTCGTTGTGCGTGACAATTTATTTTCGTGAATTTTTTTTTCCAAAATGTTACACTTTTTAGGGAAAAAAATTATATTTAATTACCAATTGCTTAATGGTGGCAGGCAATCATCTGACCCATAGGTGGCAGCCATCTCAAGCCAGAGGACGAGAGGACTCTAGCCGCCCGTTTCAAAGACCAATGTGGGCTGGGTTGTGGCCCATTGGACACGCATATAAAGGATTTATAGTGAAAAACTTTGTTTTTACGGGTTAATTTTTCGCAGCCAGGTGAGCTTGGCCCTTCTGGTCCACGGGCCACAGTGCAGTCACACTGCCTGCACACTCGATATCGATGTTGCTTATTGCACAACGCTCAATAGACTTTGCCTCTCCTCCTCATTCAGACATTAATTCAAAGAATTGCCACAATGGCTGAATAGAAATTAACAAAATAACTAACTAGATGTGAAAGCTGATCTGTAACATTAATAATGAAATAGTTATGATAACTTACAGGGGGCGGAACAGCGACGTAGTAGTTAGCGTACCGCATAGTAAACGCAGCCACCCGAGTTCAATTCCCTGCCACAGCTCACATCAATGTGAGTCACATGTGATCCGGTCCTGGGCACTCCTTTCACAAACTTGCGCTGGCTAGCGTGGTGATACACGGCTAAAACCCCCCATGACCGACAAGGCATCACAGGGAGGAATCAATCCATCCATAGGTAGACAGAGAATGGCCAACATGCTCATTTGATTTGAGCATTCATACGATTATTCACAAGCCAAGTCTTCATTGGCATAGTTTGAGTGGAGTGCGAGAGAGAGAGGGAACCAGTAGTATTTGCAAGCAGAGGGAACAAATCCGGCATAGTGTCCAATCTTCTTCTTGTTTCTTTCGGTAAAGTCACGTAGAAGGGAAGTAATAAAATAATAATAAAATAAGAATTGTTTTATTATGTTTTATTTTTATTTTTATTATTTTATTACTTCCCTTCTACGTGACTTTACCGAAAGAAACAAGAAGATGAATCCCTGCAGTCACGAAAGCTTTAAATCGAAAAGTGTCCAATCTGTAGAACGGCACACGGTATTCAGGAAGGGATTCCGTTTCAAACACTAACGCTCATGACCCAGCGGCCGATGCCCTGCCATGTCACTTGGGTAGCACATCTGTTTAAGAATCCTTTGATCTATGCGTATGTATATGTATGGTGGTTCAGAGAATATCACCCAAACCGCTCTGCCAATTTCAATACATGGGAAGTCCTAGGCGAGGCCTACGACATGCAGATCCTGACCGAATGGTTTAAATAATGAAAATAAATTACCACAGATTTTATAATTCGACCGATTCGGCGGCTTATTGGCCACGACGGAGGTTATCCGGCCCCACCATATGCATTAGCCCGGCCTGTTGGTGTAACCCCCTTTCTGAAATCAAACGTCCTCTACCCATTGTGCTGTCAGCCCTCCCACAACTTGTAAAACTTGTAAAACGATGGCACCACCAGTGCCAGTTTGCACGGGCAACGACGCTGTGGCTGGCAAGCCTTGGCAAGGTGACGCCTCGCATACGCAACGTCCATCCGCGTGCTGTGTTCACGTGCTGTGTTCACATGCTGCTTGTGCACTGGATCTTTACAAAAATAGTTCTGGCCGCGCTGACCATTTCGGCAGACTCCTCGAGAACTTATGACTACTGCCAAGCGTGCGTAAAACTGTCAAAAAATAAATAAGTGGACTTTTATTTCCACCCCCCTATCCCCACCGTATTTTTTGAGAATCTAACTTAGAATTGGCACGAGTCGTAAGCTGTTGTTTTGGTGTCAAATTTCTCATGACAGCTGACACGGGAGCAACCAACACAGGGTGTTCGTGTGTCTGTGCCTCTGTGGCGATGGCTCAGTCAGCGAGTGGACACTTGCCTGCTCGGTTGGACTGGTCAATCATGGGCTGCACTATCCGACGGCGAGCGTTGATGAACCTGCACAGAAACACAAACGGCAACAGAAAAAAACAACAACAACGGCGACGACGTGAGTTGAGACAGAGAAAGATAAACAAGGCAAATATTCGTTACGAAAAGGGTTGAGACTGGATTAGTGTTTTAATGGGTCATCACGGAGCTGAGCATCGGTGTCAGTTTATTACGTTTTGATCCAGCTGGCTAAAATTGGGAAAAACTTAGCCCACTCTTCACGCATTCAACTGAAGGGCACAGACCAAGTGTTTCTAACCTAACGTTGTGTGCTGTGGGCTACGTCGAGCCTGTTAGAAGCAGTACCGTACGTTGTTGTGCTATACTCCTATGTTCCCCGCACGGATTAGCGTGGTCAAATGACCTCCACAACCCGCACGAGAAGGGGGAAGTCCTCATCCAGGAGTGGACTGTGACAAGAGCTGTTCACATTGTACGAAGAATGTTATAAAAATAAAACACGTTACGTTCAGAGATAACGGAAGAACGTTTTTGGGAATGGAATGTTAAATTAATACATAATCCAACAGTTTTCATGCCATTCCTCTATAGCATAACTGTGTACATCAATGCCTTCACCCTATACGTTGCAACAGCATAAGTGCATAAACAGTGGGCCTTAAACATCGTCACGATCCATCATCATTTGTACGGCCCTGCTAACCACATTCTCTGCGTTACATTTGATCTTGGCATACCATATCAAAACAGCCATTCTGATGCCTAACATGATGCTTGTTATTGTGTTTATTTTATAGATTTGGCGGGGGGGGGGGGGTGGGATGAAAATTCTCTGAAATAAAATTTTCACCGCCCCCCACCCTCCACAAAATTAGCTCAATTGCCTCTTCTTCTCAGTCTCCTTTCATTTTCTATCCGCTTCAAACACCGACTGTGCCGTGCTCACTTCACGTTCACGCGCGCGACGCAGCCGGTATTCGCCCGCACTTATCTCCCGTGTCACGCGCAGATTACCACGTAGGGCCTACGATGCCACACCAGCGGGGCGTTGTTCTCAAGCCTTTTGCCATAATAGAGAAGGACGCTACGGGTCTGAAATAGGTAGGGCGTGAAAGAAAAACAGGGAAATAACGTTGGTTGTATGTCCACCTATTCCCCTTTGTGTCCTTCCATTCCTGGTTGTGTTTCTATCCATTCCCAGTTGTGTGTCTATCCATTCCCGTTTCTCGACCAACTTCACCTCCATACAACACAACGCGGCAACTGAACTCCCCTCCACACCGCACCCTCTTTCTCTCCCTCTCCCCACCACCACCACCACGAGCCTTATCCCCCCACCCCCACCTCCCCATCACTACATCCCCCCCCCAGCACCCCCCAACTCCCCCCCACCAACGGTGCCGCAGCCGATTTCTTCCATACAGCCAGCTCTGCTGAAATGGGAGCTTGTGGGGTTACCGCGAGGTCAGGCTGGGTGGCAGAGTAACCTTTCTAAATCCAGAAACGTTTCACTACAAGCTCTCTCAGAGGCTGGCTTGGAGAATTTGCGATATTTAAGGTGGGCTTCGTGCCGCAATATTTACTGCAAAGACGTCTCGAGGAATCACCTCTTGAATGGTTGTACGCCCCAACCAGATTTATATTATTCCAATTTATATCACCTCTGGCACACGGAATAGTGTGAAATGATTAAACTGCATTTTGTGTATAAATGGTTTTCAGAATAAAGTGTCTAATTCCAGAGATTTGACAGGGAGAACGACGGCGCGTTTGTTCTCATATTTGATCCATTTTTAAAGCACAATATTACATTCTCTGGACAAGCAGTTCCACCGCATAGACCTGGGATAAAGTCAGAGATGAATAATATCCTCTATCCCACCCCATCATTGTGGACTCTTCCAAGCTGCAAGCAGTGCATCCGTCTTAATCGCGATGCAGGGGCTTCGGTACACTGTTTATATTGAGGGAAATCAAAAGTACAGGGAGTTCTGAATCTCTGGCAATTGCATTTTCTAACAGTTTAACCCCTGTGTAGAATAACACAGGCAATTTATTATGTTGGTTAACTATTTATTATTTTTGCCACACCGTTAAGACAACATACGAGCGCAGGATTGGAGTGCTTTTGGAAAACTGACGTTGACAACGAAAAGCATTCGTAATCAACGTGTGTCCCGAAGAAGAAACCATTCAATCGGTGCACGTTGCCCACTACAATGAAGGGATCCCGAGACCTGCCTCACGTGCAGGAGTGAGACGCGTTGCGGCGTCGTCGCAAGCCCGACGGCATGGGGAAGAGACCTTCAATCCAGCGGTGGATAAACGGCGACGCGTAAACCGCGGCATCGACGGAGCAGTTGTACGGTCACAGGTTACTCATCTGCGGCTGGCATTCACGTGCTGCTGTCACGCGGGTTTGTTCAACAATGGCGCGCAAACTACCGCGTGGCAGACACTTGCATTGTAACAATGGCAGCACCCTTTGCAAACAAAAGGGCATTTTGCTACTCTTTGCATGGCAACAAGTTGGGACACATCTGGCGGAGTGGGTTAAGTGGATTTTTTTGAAAACTGCGCCGCCGCCGCCGCCGCGCGTGTGCGCGGGTGTGCACGAGTGCACGTTGAGGGGTGAAGTCCCGACCTCTGAACTTCTGAGTCGAAGAGCAGGCCTTTCATAAAATATTGCCGTCGCGGACCTTTCTCGGTTGTAGTTGTGTGAAAATCACCGAATCCGTTCAAGAGGCTTCTGACTCATCCTGCCGCACATCTAAGCCACCTACGGATGCCGCCACTTCCCCCACAATCCTCTGGTCTTTCCCCACGGCTTCGGCCACAGAAAAAAACGAGGATTTGCTCCTGCAATTACAAAAGACACGCTCCAAAGTGCTGCCCTCCCCCCTCCCCTCCCCCTTTGATATGAACTCGTGATGTGCAACTATGGAGCAATGGTTAGTTGGCACCCTGTGTTATAAACCTGGCGATCCAAGTTCGATTCATAGCCATGTGTGACATCAGCGGTGCTCGGGTGATATATGAAACCAGTCGTGGGCCCGGCCCCCACTTCCTTCGCCAACCCGCACTGCCCAGCGTGGTGAAGTATGTTCACGAACAACCCCCCCTCATGACCGACACAGTCGTGGGCTGACAAAGGTAAACATGAACTCGGATGAAGGCTCCACTATTTGATGTGTCCACTAACGAGACAGACATGATGAGCATTCGGTAATATTCCTTAGTTGGAGGGTGACCAGCAGCGACCGATTGCCACTGTGATTGACAAAGAATGCAGTACATTTATTTTAGAGACCTTTCTCAATCCGCTGCTGGACCGAGACCTTCCCACTCCCGTGTTCCCTGCTACACTTTCGAACGTGCCTCATCAGCGTTGTACCACATGAATGCCAAGAAGCGTAGACATCTCAAGGACACATGCATCCAATCCATCCACCTTCTTCAACCATTTTCACCACTCAAGCACTCGTTTGCACAAGACGCAAGCACCGCTGGACTGTACACTCTAACCTCCCCGTAAATTTCAGCTCCCTTCAAAGTTTCCTTCACCAGAACCATAATCACACAACACTGCTGTTCCAACGATGCAAGACACTGCTATTGTCGCCATATTGCAATTACCCAGACTGCTTTGCGGGGCTGTGATGCCACTCCACCAAGAATTTGCCAAATTTTGGCCACTGCCACTTACACACAAATTTGAAGCAGTGATCTATCGACCGTTATTTTAAGACTCTCTCTACGGGTTAACCTTGAAAGAACACTGTAGGTTATGTTACCATTAAAGTTCCCACATTTCCAATTAAGTAATAAGAGGCATGAAAAGCACAACAAAATATAACAATTGAGCATCTAAGAGTCGGTACGTGAACTATCAGCGATGCGGAGCATTAATGGGTCCACGGAAGTCTTTGATGGAGTGTAAAGGTGTTAACCTTTTGCTGAGAAATCTTTTGCGGGTCAACCTTGGCCAACAATCCCCACAAATGCTGTTGCAAACATTAATTATCCTGGTAATTGGCACACGCACGTAATCCGCAACATAAAGGTGTCCTTATTTTAAACACGTGCAATATTACTCCCCGAAAAAAAATTAGAGAGGAATTTTTTAAGTTGGTTTGGGTTAATCAGTCTTAACTCCTGCTTTGCGCACTGACCCGGCACGCCAAGTGCTCGCTGCATGACCTCCATTTACGCTTTGTAATGAGCGTAAGTACGTGGCTGGAGCGAGTAAAAAATATATAATAATAATAATTACAACAGAGGAACAAAAAATGTAATTGAAAAAAAATCCAGGATTTGAAATTTAAACTTTTTCTGACCTTTTAAATATTTGGCTCGAGCTAATTTGTACTGCCACGAAAACCAAGATGACCGAGTGGTGGGATTATAAGCTGTGTTGTAATAAGAGCGAACTTTTTCTCTACCACCCCCCCTCCTCTTCTTCCACTCCACCCTTTTCAAACGAATTCAATGTAACTGCAGAAGCACTCGAGCCGGTCTGCAAACAGTAATGGTACCGGGTTACTTTTGTACACAATGTTGCCGCTGTCACCTGCAGCGCAAACACACCTAATGCACACAAAGGTAGGGTTCAATGGAGAATAATAAAAAAAAATTGGAAAAAAAAAATCCGTCTCACACTCGTTTCGTTTACTCTGAGCAACGCAAAGTCGCGCACGCCTCTAATCCGGCGACTTGGGAGGCGGGGTTAGCGGAGCACGCACGGATGGGACCACCGTGTGCGAGACACCCGCCTGCAAGGGCCAGTAAGGTGCCTGTGCGAGGCAGTGGAGCAAGTAGGAATATTACCCACCAATCTGCCTACGACTCAACGATCCTGCCTGCCACCAAATCGCCCAGCTGTACGGCCCAATGTCGTCAGATGTCAGAAGCTAAGCAGGATTGAGTCTGCGTTGTCATTGGATGGGTGAGAAAATAGGACTTGCCCGATGTTGCGAGCAAAAATACTCGAAGAATAACGGGACAACCAAAATAATAAAATCTGCCTCCAAATCAGTCGTAACACT